GGGGAAGCCGCAGGGAGATTTGGGGCCTGGGGGTTCCCAGAGCTAAGGTGAAGCTGTTTGCAGGGGCGCCCCAGCCTGGGGTCTTGGACTCTGGGAAAGGAAGCCTTCCTCAGAGACCCAGGCCTGCGGATGTTCTCGGGCAGGGGCTTGTTCAAAGGAAGAAGGCGGGGGGGGGCCCGGCGCGGAGCGGGCGCGGAGGTTGCGCGGCCGGGGTGGGGGGCGGCGGGCGGGGAGGGGCTGGGGCAGCAGGGCCGGCGCGGGCTCTCCAGGAAGCGCCTCCAGCGCCCGGCGACTTTCTCTGTTTTTTGAAAAGGGGAAGGGAAGGAAAGCAAAAATAGCCTGTCCTTCGTCGAATCTGCCGAATCTACCATCCGTCTAGGAAACGGCGTCTGCCACCCCCTCCTCTCCGTGGGTCGCTGTGCGCCTCCAGCCGCTCTCCTCTTTAAAAGCGAAGCGGGAAATCCACCCCAACCCCCATCTCTCTCTCTCTCTCTCTCTCTCTCTCTCTCTTTCCCTGTCTGGAATTTCCAATCCAGGACTAACTCGTCTGATTTCTCCAGTCTCCCCTGCTGCTTTTTTCCTCCCCTTTTCTCTCCCTAACACCCCCATCCCCAAAATCTAAGCTGCACTTTCTGGAAGACATTAGCCATATTTTAAAAATCTTTTAATAGGATGGGGAGCGAACAAGACTACGTTTAAATTTTAACAGCTGGCAAAAATGCCTGTTCTTCAAAAGCCTTCGGTTTATACACTGATTCTAAGGCCAACATCATTACTACCACTCCAAAAACCAACACAGGTATAATCCAATACAGATCCCTTCAACGAAAAATTCTTAAACCCCTACAACTAGCACGTGCTCTCCCCCTTTTCACTCAACTAAACCAGATCTGAACTTTTTTAAAGTCTTAAATTGTATACTCATCAGTCCATCTCAATGATATCTTTGTCAACTGGCTGCTACACATTAAAGTATAAAATAAACCCCCAAAATAAAAAGTCTTAAAAATATCCAAACACACAAAGTAGATCCAAATAACATACATTAAGGTAATTTTAAAAGATTAGAAGCCCAGAACCTTTGAATCAAGTATCTTCCAATTACTAATGTCATGCATTTCATCTCCAAACATAATTACAAGAATGTTTTGCTCTTTTCCCACCAAAAATGGTGCCATTAAAACTTTACATTTGGAACAGTTAACTATACTTTGAATAAATTAGTGATGAAAATTATAATTCTTCCCCTCTTTACTAAAAAGTTCCCCATCTGGGAAACCACTGGAGCAAATATCTTTCTACTGTGGGTCAGAAAATAAGGGGCTGTGGTAACCCACCACTCTTGCAAGGCACAAACACCACAGGGCTTACGAAAGTCATCTTGAAACACTAGTGACATCAAGTTAAGGATTTGTCTAGCAACAAAGAAAACTTAATTTATGAGTCTATGAAGTTTAATTTCTAGGTGGAAATTAAAATGAAGAGAAGGAATCCTGATTTCCTATCCTCCTCCAAACAGTACAGAAACATTTAAGAATCAACATTTTTACTTATTTAAAGTCAAAAACTATAATAAAAAGCCTTTTACTCCAAATGTCATAAGCTGTTTCTACTTCAGACTTATTTATTGACTACAAGTCAGTTTTCTCTTTCAATCACAACCACTGAAAGTGCCTAAAAATTCTCCAATATTTATTATACTCCTTGGCTGTTCAAGACACCCACTCCTTGTTTTTTTTGTAGTACACCCAATTCATTTTCAGTGCCTTAGAACAATTTTCACTAAAAGCAAACCAATTCCTGAAAGCAAACTTTTTGCTTCTTTTGACATTTAGTGATCTAGTTATTTTAGAGCCTCCAGGAATCATTTAAAATTAGAAATATTTTTGCTATTTACAGGACATCCCTTTGCAAAGATTTTGAAAGTTGCTGGCTTTAGAATATTAAACTGCAACTTTAATATAGTTTGAACACTTTGTCCTGAGAGTTCTCACACATTGGTTTGGTTTTTAATACTTGGAAATTTAAGGAAAAAAATTATTAGTCCACATCATTTTAAGTGAACTTAAGAAACAACCATAAGCCAGCCTAAAAAACCCAAGTCTTTAACTTGAACACATTTCACTTAGAGAAATGCAATATATCTCTTCATTTTTTTAACAGCAAACAACTTTTATTCTGATGACACCAGTTTGACAGTAGGTATGCTATCTTTAGGTCACATTCCTCTAGAAAAAAGGCATACAGTGGCAAATGAAACAAAAGTTTAATTCTCTTAAAAAGCAAGTCATTTCCTAAAGTAAACAAGTCTTAAGACGTACACCTTTTACCTTAACTACCCTTAAGTCTCTCAAAATAAAACATATATTCAAATCCTTGCTCCCACTGTTTTTTAAAAGCTTTTAGTTTTTCTCCTTTGTCCCACTATTTGATAATGAATATACACAAATTCTCAAAACAAAAAAAAAGTCCAAAATATTAACCAAAATTCCAACACTTAGTGAGGGGGCTAGGGAAGGTGACCTCAGGAATTAGTGTCATTCATTTGAAAAATTAAAATTAATTTGTTTTCCATTTATACACTGTTCAGATTTCTTGGGTACTTAGTAAGGTACAAATTAAATTATATGTCTGAAGTAGATACAAAGTTAAAACAAAATATAATACTTCCAAAATCAGGGTTGCTCAGGTAACTGATAATTTTCTCTTTTGAGATTTCCCCCTCTTAAAAACAAAAACACCACATTCCAGGAAACACTGAGATTGTCCTATTTTTATGAATCTTTTAGAAATCTTTAAAATCTTAATTCACTTGAATGAAACCTAGTGAATCAGAGTCCTATTTTAAAGAGTGAAAACACAGGAGAGTACACATACACAATATATATAATCTGTTCATTTTGCTTAAAATATATCAGTTAATAAACTTGTCCCTAATCTATAGTCAAAAGATTGAAAAGCCAGTAACGAACCAACTGAATAAGTATTTTTCAGACATAACTAAAAACACATACCACAACAGGCTGCCTCAAAGAACACAAAATGATAGAGCAAACTAACTTCATGAAAACAAACTTTTTTTTAAATTCTAAAACTTCAAAAATTGATTCATTCTAGAAAAATGAAGTGCCTTACCACCACCACCACCCCAAAAATAAAATAAAACTGAGCACAACTGACTCAATGTTTGTGCTCCAAAATGATTTCAGGAAGGGAGAGAACACAAAAGATCTAATTTAATATGGGTGTGTAAAGGAAGATTTTGTACCCACTCTTCTCACAAACCCCACCCCTTCCCAACTCAAAAGAGCCCTCGGTAATGCATTTTGGAGGGAACAAGAAGCCTAGAAATGACTTGAAAGCAAGCAGATGGCTTTAAAAAAGATCCATAAATACAGAGCACCATGAAAATTAAAATACAAATGTTTGGGGTTCCATTTCATCACATTTTGCTTTTTCTCTTACATTTTCCCTCCTTCCCTTTAAAATTTAAACCATCCAGAAGAGCACAAGAAAAAATTTCCACATATTTCAGAATTCCACTCTGGGTTATTTCTCATCAATATGTTTCAAACACTGAAGTTTTCGATTCAAGTCTCTACAATCTTCTCATTAAATCTACTGTGGTGTCAGTATACGTTTGTATGATTCTGTTATCCCCATCTCTAGAAAATGTTTCAAAATAATAAGACTTCTGTCCTTCCTTCCAATTTTACTGCTGCTTGACTCCTAACTCTAATTGCCTTTCCAATAAGAGTATTTCAAACCCTTGAGATTAAATCACAAGCTCTATAAACATAGTTACAAGCCATATTGATCATCTATAGATACAATAGTTCCAAGTTACTGAACTATCTCAAGCTAAACCACTGCACAGATTTTTCTCCCATGAAACTTTCCAGATCTTTACTCCCCAAAAGAGCACAACCACCCACCCCAATCCTTCCCCCCAGAAAAAGCCAAAGACTATTCTGAAATGCATGTAGCAAGTTACCAGTTGAAATGAAGGAAGGGGGGTGGGATAAGATCAAAGATTTACTGGAGGTTGAACAGGAGAGAAAACTCTGCACTGTCAATATGTTTAAAATACCACTTGAAAAATCAGAAAGACTCTGCCATTATTCTTCCCTGCCAGAGTTCAATTAAAGATTTGAAATACAACATGAAATCAGATTTGTAGATAACATGATAGAGGTACCAGAAAGGTACTGAAACATGAAAACACACACACACACACACACACACACACACACACACCATTCATCCAAAGAGTTGTAGACCCTCCAAAGAGCCCCAGCTCACAGCCTGAACACAAAGCTCTCACCCCAGATGGTCCCCTTCTAACAATGGACTGAAGGAGTGGGGGCTTGGGGGCTCAGAAAGAATAGTACAGCCAAAGCATATTCTTTGGAAAATCTATTTGTGGGGAACCAGGCCATGTGAGGGCTTGGGGTAGGGATGGAAAAAAAATAATAATAATGTCCTTGCGGGTTGCAGGAATATAAATAAAGCACAAGTGTGAGAGGATTCTTTGGGAGGTAGGAACTCATTCCATTTCCTCTAGGGAGTCTAGAAAGACACTCCCCAAGTCCATGTAAGAATTATGAGGGATGGATGAGGAAAAAAAGAAAAAAGAAAAGGAAGACTGCTAGGAAGTTGCAGAAATGTCCAGGAGTTTGAACTCTTCAAAGATTTACATACTGCCGTACAAAAATGGCCCCACACACCTTGAACAAACTCCACAAGGTTTCTCCCCTATTGATTTTTTCCTACACTTCTCCAAGTCACATCTCTTAGCACACCCCCCCCCCAGCACTAGCTTATTTTTTTACAAGCTGTAAACCACCCATTACAAGATCTTAGCCAACCTTCCCTCCCTGCCCCCAACATCCGGAGTTGGGGGTAGGAAGGCCAGCAAAGGGTTTCTTCCACTGGAGACTCTATGGACCCCTAAGACTGGCCCTCAGCGTCCCCTGCCCCCCCCAAGAGCTCTTTCCTACCTTTGTTTTTTGGGGACCGAGTGTTCAATCTCTAGGCGTTTTCCTTGCAATTCCACTTTCCCTAAAAATTAAAAAGAAAAAAAAAAGACAATATGAGAGCTTGAAGGGGGTGGGAGGAAAGAAGGAAAAAGACGGTATATTAGGGTAATTCAGGAGTTCCTGGGGTTTGAGACCTTTCCTGGGAATCCAGGCAACGGGTTCCGAAGCCGGCAGGGAAAAAGGTCGCTACCGGAAAGGTGGAAATCTATAAATTCATTATTATACCTTAATTTTTTTGTTTTCTCACCGAGGCTATATGAATTGTGGATCGCGCTGGGAGCCTGATTAGGGAGAGGTGCGGGGGCGTTTGTGTGAGCCGGCCGCCTACAGGCTCCCAGATATCTGGAGAAGGGGCCGCGAGAAAAAGGGGGCCCCATGTCTCCGAAAGTGTGTACCAGGGGTGGGGGGTGCAGAATGAAACTTTTATTTTTTTCCGTCGAGCCAGGGTAAGGGACTTGGGGGCGGCGGGGTGGTCACCTGTCGGGGCCGGCAGGGAGGAGGGGTCCTGGGGGAGCGGCGGGGGGCCCCGCAGGGAGGGACCCTCGCGGCCGCGGCGCGCTCCTTTCGGCCCAGCCCGGGCGTCTCGGGAAGCAGCATGGCGACCCTGCGCCGCGCCGCCGCGCCACCCGGCTCACGCCCCACTTTCAAATCAAAATGGCTCAAGACCCAGGCCCTGGGCGGGAGGCGGGACCCCCAATCCTCCCCGAAGGCCGCAGCACCCACGGAAACCCAGGAAATGGGAAACGCAGCTGGGTCGCCCTACCGGGCCTGGAAAGGCCTAGGGCGGAGGAAGGGGAGCCGGGGGTGTCCCAGCTGCCCTGGAAGGGAGGGGGGCGTCCAGCCGCGGATAGGGAGGGGCTGACGTGGGAATAACGCCCAGGCGCCGGACCCACAGTCGAGACCCCCCACCACTGCCCAAGGGGGTTCCCGCCCCGTCGGGGGGCGAGTGGGGGGGAACAAGAGGGTCACCTTACTAAAGCGCCAGCTCCTGGGCGCTGGAAGGGGGCGAGGGATTCTCCAGTGTCTCTGCACGGGGTGCGGAGGCGTCGAGGGAGGGTGGGCACGGAGGCTGGGCCCCCCGAGTCTGGGGGAGCGGAGTTGGCGGGCGGGCTCGGGGACGCGGGGCTCCGCGCGCCGCTCGCGGGCTCCGCGGTGTTTTGTTCGGGAGGTGGGCGCGCTCTTACCGGAGAAAGTTTCGATGGCCTTCATCGCCCAGTGCTCGTCGGGGCAGTCCACGAAGGCGTAGCCGGACTTGACCAGGAACTGGCCGCTGTAGGAGATCTTGTGCTCCGCGAACACTTTCTCCAAGTCCGCGGGGGTCACGCTCTCGTTGAGGTTGCCGATGTACAGCTTGTTCATGGTGGCGGTCTCGGGCAGGACGCGTCCCTGGCAAGGCCGAGCGGGCGGGTGCGCGCGGCGAGCCTCCTAGGCCGAGAGGCGGGAGGCCGTCAGCAGGCGCCGCAAACTTTCTTTCCACCCCACCCCTGAAGTTGTCCGGAGCCCGGGGCGGGAAGGGCGGCCGGCGGGCGCGCGGCGGTCTCGGGGGAGTTGGGGAGGCCGGAGAAGTGGCCGCGGCGCGCGGGAGGCTGAGGACGCGGCGCAGCTCCTTCCCTTCAGTCCGAAACCCCTCCGAGCGGGCTGGTGTGTCACGTTTCTCCGCGGCCGCCCTGGCGCCGCCTCTAAATAAAATCGACTTGGAAAAAAAAAAAATGGAGCGGAAAAAAAAAAAAAAAAGGACGAAGCCACGTGGTGAAAGCCCCCACCCACCCTGCAGGGGAAGACCCCTGACGCCGCCGGTCCCGTCCGCCCCGCAGCCTAATCCGGGCCCACCAAGCTCCCGCCGCGGGGGAGGGGGGCGCGCAACGCACCCTCGGGGTGAACCGCCCCAGCCCGGAGCGCCGTCCCGGAGCGCTACCTGCCCCCTCCCCCTCGGCGAGAATCTGGCCCCCGGGAGGGCGCCCCGCCCCCACCCGCCCGCCCGGCGGCCCCCGCCCCGGCTGGGGGAGGGTGGTCGGGGCCAGACTCTCCCGTCTCTTCAGGGGTGAAATGCACGGTGATTTTTTAATCGTGTGGTAGGAGGGGGGATTTGCCCACCCCGGTTCCCCGCTAGCGACTGACAGGCGGGGGACCGCCAAGATAGACAAAGAGAAGCCGAGGACTCTGGGGTCTTCAGGAGGTGGTCGCGCGAGCCAGGGATTTAAAAAGAAAGGCGCCTTTTCCCTCGGTTGTGACGGGGCGACGGCGGTGGGGAGGGTCCCCAGCCTTTCCGGCCCCAACCCCGTGAGACTCCCTCGCCCCTGGTAGCCGGGACCCAGGGGCCCCGCGCGCGCGGGACTGGGAAACGGGGAGCCTTGGGGGTCGCGTTTGGGAACGCGAGATCCGCAGGAAAGCCTGTTTCGGGGTTCCCACGGGAGCCAGGGTGGCTCCCACCCGGGGTCCGGCTGTTACGAGAAAATGTCTCGGGGGCCCGGGGGGGGACGCGCGGCTCCGGCCCAAGATGACCCCAGGGGCAGGGCGGGGGAGAAGGAAGAGGAGGGGTCGCGCGAGCAGCCCCGGGCGCCCGAGAGGGGAGGTCTCCGGCAGGGAGTGGCCGCGCGGAGAGCCCGCTCCTCCGGGCGGGGGCGGACAGGTGGAGTCCCGGCGCCCGCCCCACCCAGGGCGTGGACGGCCGCTTTCCCGGCGCGGGGTTCGGGCCCCGGAACTTTGTTTGGGGTGCAGGATTCGGATCCGGGCGGGAAGGCGCGAGAGGGGCCGAGGGCGGGGGACCGCGCGCCAGGCCCCGCCCCCGTCCCCAGGTCAGACCCGCGGGGGGAGGGGGTAATTTCCGCTCCGCGCTCGGGGAAGCGAGGGGCGGGAGCGGCGGGGAGGGGGCGAGCCCCTCCCCCGTCCGCTCCTGGGGAGGGGGAAGCGGATCCGCCCTGGTCCCTTCCCTCGCCTTTGACCAACTCGCTCCGGATCCCCCGGCCCCGGGAACCCCAGGGACGGACCAGACTGGGCGAGGGGCGACACGTGGGCGGTCGCACCCCGTCTCGGCGGTGGGGGAGGGGGCGGCTCGCCGCGCGCCTCGGAGTCCCGGATACGCGGCGCGGAGCGGGACGCGCGGACCGCGCGCAGCCGGGATCCCGGCGCCGTGGCGGGCGAGGCCGACGAGTTTCCCGCGGCGGGGGCCGGGCCCGGGCCGCGCCGGGGGGTGGGGGGCGGAGAGCGCGGCCCGGGGCCGTCCCGCCCGGCGAGCCGGGGAGCGAGTGGGGTGGACCCCCCGTAATGCCCGGCTACCTGAGCTGGGCGGAAGCTCAGTTTGGCTCCAGGTTCTTCGGGAAAGAGAAATAATTGTGTCGGGGGGCACGTGTGCTGCGAGGGCAGGTGAGGAAGGGGGTCACTCTCCCTTTCCCGGGCCCCGACCCATTGTCTCAGTCGCCTGCGGCCCGGACAGACTCCGCAACACGTGTTGGCTACACCGATATGAATGCCTTGGATTTTTTTTTCCCGTAGTATTATTTTTTGTTTGCAGAGTCAGCCCACTGACTGCGCCCTGGGCGCACCGCTCCTCCGCCGGGCTGTTTCAGACCGTCCCCAAAGTCGGGACTTGCAGACTCCACGCAGCACCTTTGTCCCCCTCCCCGTGTTCCCCGCGCGCAGAAAAGAAATGGGGGGCGGGGGAGGGCTTCCAACTCCCTTTCTTCATCTCCACCACCTTCAAAACCCACCCTCCAGATCCGCGTTTTGTTCTAAGCAGCCACGTGTTTGTCGGATTTTTGTTTTCGTGAATTTTGTCCTTCCCGAGGGGCGACAAATTTAAATACTATAAGCTATTAAGTGCTGGGTAGAAAAAAAAATGTTTTCTATCCAAGGAGGAAGACATCTGCATCCCACCCCCACGGCTCCTCCAGCCCTCCCCCGGTCCTGACTCTTAATCCCTAGTCAGCTCCTGACCATAAACATAATTTTAAAACAAACCGAAGCGTTGGAAACGGAGCCTGCCACATAGTAGGCCTTCAGTAAACATTTTTGAAAAGAGCAACAAGCTAACATAAACTGCAGAGCACAGAGAATTCAGAGGAAAATGAAGAGTCGCGGGTGGGGGCGGGGGATATCTTGGCCAGAATGTGTGGGTCTGTTGCCCAGGGACTTCTCTGGGTGATCTGTACGGACTTTACTGAAAGAGCAAAAAGAAGGTCTCAGAAAGGCTGTTGTGTGCCTTGGCCCTTGCTAAACAGGAGCCCCAATCTCCTCAAATCTTTTCTGTCATATTGGGGTCCAAGGAAGAGAGTACTAGGGCATTCCATTTCCCAGAAACTTTGAATTCTGTTCATTTCATTGAAATCTTTAGGAATTAATAGAAGCATCTCTCAGGTTTTTTTTCCCTGGGGAAATATATCCACTACACTATCTCTTTATTCCTAAAACAAAAGCAAGTTACACACCACCAAATAAAAGTCCATCCAGATCTCTAAATGGCTGTATCTTTTTCCTACCCTGGTCAAAGGGAAACAAAAATTTTAATAATAATCGAATTCAGTTCATTTTTAGGATGAATTTTTCCATTTAAAAATATAATAGATACAAATGTTACTTGAAATGAATCAAGGCAGTTTTGGTTTTTGTTTTTGTTTGGATTTTTTTTTTTTTTGGGTTTGTTTTTTCTGTTTTACAATGATAGTAGAGAAAAAATACAAATTTATTAAATTAAAAATGTACCAACTATTGGTAAGTTGCAACTGATTAGTTCTTTTTAAAAATCAGCTGTTTCAGTGAATTCTTGTTGCCCCTCACCCCCAGGGCTTCTATGCATAGTTAGAGGCTGCAAGAACACAAGAGAGAGGAGACAGCTGGGGTGATATGCAGACCTTTGTAGCCCCCAAATCAGTTTGCCTCAGTGACCTGGCTATTTTAGGCTGGGGCTGGGGAACTGAATGATGTGGCTGGTGCTTCATCTCTTCCCTCTGAGCCAGCCCAGCACTAAAATTAACTTGAGAAGTTTTATGTCTTGTCAAGACCCACATTCCTAGGTTAGGGAGAGGAATGGGCAGTTTGGAGATGCCAGAATTTAGCATCTTCCTTTTCTTTGTTGTTGTTTTAATATTAAAGACAGCTAATAAACATTGTATTTTTTTTTCCTACACAACTTTTTTGGAAAATATAAGTCTTCAGTGCAGAGTTAAATTTAGTTTGTGAGAGTAAAATAGCCGAAGGATAAATTGTTTGCTTACTTAAATAATGATTACTTTTATTGTTGTTATACTTGTTCTTCCTCTTCCTCCCTCATTTTTCCTGGTGAAGTGTTTGGTCTGGTTACAGAATTCAATTCTCTGAATTCAGAAACACTGAAAGCTTACTCCATTTTAAAGATGGAATTCTGATCCATTTTCCTTTTAAATAAAACACAATTTTTAAAAATTGGAAACAAAGTGAAAATATCAATTCCATCATTGTCACACAAAGTTAATTTTATTTTTAGGTATTTCATTCCATTTTTGTCCATTTATTATAGTTCTGTATTTTATCATCTTATTTTTATATCTCAGTTTTTAACTTGATGTTGTTTTCCCAAGCTGCCTAAGTTTTCATAACCATCATTTCTTAGCAAAAGTGTTAATATTTAGTCCAGTAGATATAAACGAATAATTACTTGTTTTTTTAGATATGTAGGTTACATTAAAAAATTTTTTTTTTACTTTTGTCAGTAGTGCTGAGTAGATATTCTGGGACATATAACTGTTTTCCCTTTTAAATTAGTACCTTTGGATAAATCCCCAGAATACATATTGCCTTTTAAATCTAATATTTATCGATGAATTGCTATTTTAAAAGTTTAGCCTGTTTTACAGAAGAGAACACAAAAATTGGAAGTCAAGTAAGAGGAAAATATATTTACATGAAATTTTTCTATTTATTTTCTAATGAATCAAATTTTAAAATAAGAGTGTGATTTCTATGAAATATAGAAAAAGGAAACTTCATATTTCCTAACATTTAGCTTCTTTGACTTCAAAGTTTTTGGAGGAATTTGCTTTTATTTGCTTGGTTTTGTTTGTTTTGTTGTTTGTTTGTTGTTGTTATTAATTGGGATATTTTGTTTCTTCCTGCAACTTAAAGTTTTAGTGTAGTCCTTTAAGTGCCTATAAACTTTGAAAAAGTGTGAACTAGTCCCATTTTAAAACACATGCAGCATTTTCTACTGTCAAATAAATAAGGATAATTATGTGTTTAAGATAACTTGTAATATATAAGACAATTGTAAGCAGAAAAGGAAAATTTCCTTCAAATTATCACTCAAAAATGTTCACTGCTTAAAACCTTAACAGGAAAAGTGTTTATTCCAGAGATAGAAGAGACTAAAGAAGAAAAAAGAACTTTTAGAAAAAGCATTTGTTTTTCTATGGGTTACACTGTGACAAAACTGTTCAATTTTTTTGTTTTGACTCAGATTTGCAGTCTAGAAACTTTCAGATTAGGAAGGGAATTGTTTATTTAATCCACTTTTATAAAATGGATGTTTCCAAATTCAATGTGTTCGTAAATTAAGCTACACTACACTAGCCCCTATTAACACATGTAAAAGAAGTAGTCAATGACATTCCTCACACTATACTATTCCTGTCTTTTGCATTTTTCACTCCAAAATCATTTGGTTAAAAGATAATGAACAACTTTGTTTTGTCCCTAGTTTATACAAAATGCAAA